ATGGCGGTCCCAACGTGAAGCCTGCACCTTCCCCACCGTCTCCCCAGCTCCCCTCCCCTGCTTTTCTTCCAGAGGTTAAAGGTCAGTGCAGTCAAGGCCATAGGATGTCTCTCATTCACCTCGAAAACAGCTGTCTATCCGAGTAGGTGGCCGCCTATGTTCAGGGCCAGCGTTCCCTGCGCTTCTCCAAACTCCCCTACACACAGCTCCAGGCGATGGGGTCTGTGCTGAGAACCAGCCCCAGTGGAAGACAAGACCATGAACAAGGATGGTGTAGCATAGGGTGGTGCTGGGACACCGTAGCGTGGGCCTGGGCCGGGCTGCTGCGAAATGCTTTCTTCATGAATCGCTGCCACAACTGCACACCCCGCTCCGTTAGCCTGGCACACACGGCACACCCCGTTCCATTAGCCCCACACACACCGCTCCATACACCCCGCTCCATTAGCCCCGCACGCACCGCTTTGTACACTCCGCTCCGCTAACCCCGCACACACCGCTCTCTCTGGATGCCCCGCTCCGCTAGCCCCGCACACACTGCTCTGTACGCCCCGCTCCGCTAACCCCGCACACACCACTCTCTCTGGACGCCCTGCTCCGCTAGCCCCACACACTCTGCAGGTACTGCTCTGCTAGCTCAATGCAGGAGCTGTCCCCTGGTTGTCAGTGCGCTCCCACAGGGAGAGGTCTGCTCAGCCACAAGCCAGGCTGAGGGCTGCCAGTGCGGTGGTGGTGGTGGTGGGAGCCTCCGCGCCTCCTCAGCAGCGCTAAGGATGTCCAACTGCAGCTTAGGTCTGCTCCCCGCTGGCAAGTGGACATCCCCCGAGGGCTGCCCGGCTGCCAGAGGGATGTCTGACTGCCAGCTTAGGCCTGATCCCCCAGGGAGAAAAAACGTATTTTCTTGAAAAAGACTGGCTGTTTCCGTTCTCATTGGCTGGAGGAGCTGTCACCGTATCTCGCCATCACTGGCAACCCCGCCAGCCAGCACTCGGCGGCCTATGGCCTCAGGAGCACACAGAGAAATGGGGAATTAAAGCCGTTTCTGCAAAGGCGGCTCAACGGGACCAAATCTTCTCCAGGTGAACTATTCCCCATAAACTTGAATATATAAGGTTGAGGAATAATAACAAAAAGCTGGAAAAAAAGAAACAAAACCTGCATTGTGTACGCCTGCAATGTACACAGAAGACAAGGTGGCCGTGCTCCTCAGTCCTGGAATCAACAGGAACACTTCCCACGCTCCCAGTGCATACACGCACCCCTTCCTGCATAGGAGGGACTTCCTTTGTCCCAGGTGGTTTGTAAACAATCCACACATGGTCATGGTCAGGTCACAGTGGCCAGAGCGCCCGGCTCATCTGCCCCAAGGCAGCTCTAATGATGGACATCCCTGCCCCTTCTCTTAGGATTTGCTGAAACAATGAACCAGTCACTTTAAACTCAGACTACCCATTGGTGCCACAGTGAGCTATTAAGACACACCCAGGCAAGCACATGACGCGGCAGCCTAGGGATCCATGTGGGATAGTTCTATGCGTGGTGAAAGCACGCACACGTGACCTGTATGCAGGCGTGTGCTTGCTTCCTCCATCCCTCCTCTATCGCACAGCAGCGATCACCGGTGTCTGCTAAGGAAGTGCAGGTCTGAGGAAACAGTTGCCAGACCTGGGTCTCGTGACAGCTGTGGGCCTTCAGCGCCCTCTCATCTCTGTATGATTCTCTCTTCTCTGAGCTCTCTCTCCCCAGGGGAGCTGACAGAGTACAATGAAACATGTGAGGTGCCAGCCCATCAGAACAGTGTAGGGAGAAAGAGGATCAAAGCTATTAGAACGGGCTTCTGAAAAACGGGTGTAACTCAGAAAAAATGTGTCTGAACTCCTGGCTAACTCCCCTTCAACTAGGATTGGCTGAGAAGCTACTAAAAGAAACACTTTTCCCCCAAAAGTTCTCATTGCGGACAAAAATCTCACAGTGAAGAGAATGAGCATCGTATGATAAATGTTTCCTGGTCAGACACATTGTGATCTCCAAGGCCAACGTGCTTCCAGCTCCCAGGAGCCTCCAGTGCAGCTGGACAGACCAGGAGCAACACAGTCAGGCGGGTAGGAGAGGGGCAGAGGCAGCTGCCCTGGGAGGGGCCACACACAGGTGGCTCTGACCTCACAGCACACCTCCCAGGAATCATACTTCTCTGATCATCGCCGACTTAAACTGTGGTGGCTAACCGACAACTAAGACAGATTTGCTCTCCCCCAGGTGTGTAGGTGCACTGATCCCCAGGTGTGTAGGTGCACTGACCCCCAGGTGTGTAGATGCACTGATCACCAGGTGTGTAGATGCACTGACCCCCAGGTGTGTAGATGCACTGACCGCCAGCTGTGCAGCTGGACTGACCCCCAGGTGTGTAGATGCACTGACCCCCAGGTGTGTAGGTGCACTGACCCCAGGTGTGCAGATGCACTGACCCCCAGGTGTGTAGGTGCACTGACCCCCAGGTGTGTAGATGCACTGACCCCAGGTGTGCAGATGCACTGACCCCCAGGTTTGTAGATGCACATGTGACTTCCTTGTTCTTCCTTCTTGGTGAGGAGACGGAGGCCTCCTGTGAGTGGTCCAGGGCTCGTCCTAGGAGGCTCTGGCCTTTCCTCCACGGCTGGGCCCCGTGCGGGGCGTGGGGGGGCAGGGAGGGTTCCATGAGCTAAACACAGTGCTCAGGGTCCAGCTTTCGGTTTAATCTGAGCGGTGGTGGGAACACTGTCCTTCCCACGCCGAAGGCTTTCCCAGGCTCAGTGACAGAGGGAAACATAAGGAAGCAGGAGGCGCGGTGTCTGGGAGGTCAGTTACCCTGATAGGAAGGGCCTGCCACAGGCCACACACGGTGCCCTTATCGACCAGGAGCCTCGTGGGAAAGACACTCCCAGGCTCCCAGTCCGCGATACCCTTACTGCCCCAGGACTGCACTGTTTCCTGCCGACTCCTCTATCAAGGGAAGTACTTTCTGAGTCCATCCCCGCAGAAATGTGAGAAGACTTGGGGCTCTCCCTCCTGGTATGTTCATGGTGATACTTCAGTCCTGTTCTTACCTGCCTTGATCCAGTCGCATTCAATTAGACTATCATCTCCTCAAAGTATAAAACACACCTCGCGGTCAGACCACGTGTGTAAACAGTCGCCGAGTTATCCGACGCTGGGCAGAGGGGCCCGCGCTGTACCTGCACTCACAGCTGTCGGACGCCCACCAGGTGGGCACTGAGGAGGGAGTGTCGGGAAACAGCAGGTCCAGTTTTCCTAGCTGTGCACAGCTCTCCTTGTTCTAGAACAGGCTCCCCGTCGGCTCATCGCTGGACAGTCACGACCAAGACTATCATTTCACACTAATGTGACATTGCTGTAAAGGAGGCACCTCCCCCGCCCCCCAAAAAACCCCGTTTTATGTAATTTCAGGCTATGGTGGGAACTCATATTTGACCCTGAGAAAGGTCAGTGCATGAAGTTGTAGGACTTCTGTGGGGGATCCGTTCAAAAATTGGCCTGGATAATTATTTTGGACTAAAATATTTTGGATAAAATTATTTTGGTCCGTATTTTCTTATTCTTTCGTATCCATTCATTTCGTGATTTTAATCAATATGTGATTCAATCTGTAGAAAAACCTATGGCCTTTTACTTTACAAGCAGATTCATTGTAACCACAAGGTGGCGGTACAACGCCATCCTCGGCCCCGACCCGCTGGCTGTTCTCCCTGCCTGTGCTGTACCCTTGTCATTGTAATGGTCTCCATCAACCTGGGCTATCAGCCTCCAAAATCACTTCCACAGGAAGGAAAACAGACACCAGACAGCATTAATGAGAGGTGCAGACCACGGCAGCGATCTGCTTTTTAGCCAAACGCTCTGGCGGGCAGGTGCTCTGATCCCAGGAATTCTGGGAGTGACAATTTGGCGGAGCGGGGTGGTGGGAGCCGAGCCACTCGGCTCCTTTGAAGCAGGTCTGGGCAGCCGTGACTCACTCCCCTGGCACAGCTGACCGGGGGGCCCTGTAATTAAGCGAGATAGAAACCGCCTCCACTGTGGCCTGGAGGATGGGCCCAGCCCCACAGGCACGCCTCCTTCCTGGTCCTCTCTGGGTGTGGGCCCACGCGGAGCCACAGTCACCAAACGCGTTTAGTGTGGCAAGGAGCGAGGCGCTGCTGGGCTCTGTCCTGGAGGCACCCGGCCACCCCCAGGGCACGGCTCCCCTGCCTCCCAACAGCACCGG